AGTAACTGTGAGAGGGATCTTGGAGTTCTAGTGGACAACCATTTAAATATGAGCCAGCTGTGTGCAGTAGCTGCCCAAAAAGCCAACGCAGTTCTAGGCTACATAAACAGCGGGATAGAATAAAGATCATGTGAAGTGTTAATACCGCTTTATAAGGCCTTGGTAATGCCACACTTGGAATACTATATTCAGTTTTGGTCGCCACAATGTAGAAAAGATGTGGAGACTCTAGAAAGAGTGCAGAGAAAGAGCAAGATGATTAGGGGACTGGAGACTAAAACATACAATGAATGGTTGCAGGAACTGGGTATGTCTAGTTTAATGAAAAGAAGGACCAGGGGAGATACGATAGCAGTGTTCCAATATCTCTGGGGTTTCCACAAAGAGGAGGGAAGCAAGCTATTCTCCAAGGCACCTGAGGGTAGAACAAGAAGCAATGGGTGGAAACTAATCAAGGAGAGAAGCAACTTAGAACTGAGGGGAAATTTCCTGACAGAACAATTAATCAGTGGAACAGCTTGCCTCCAAAAGTTGTGAATGCCCCAACACTGGAAGGCTTTAAGAAGATGTTGGATAGCCATTTGTCTGGAACGATATAGGGTTTCCTGCCTGGGCAGCGGGTTGGACTAGAAGACCTCCAAGGTCCCTTCCAACTCTGCTATTGTATTGTATTAAATTGATTGATAGACAACAGGTTTTTTTTCTAACATGCATACTCTCCAGCTACATCGTAGGTGGGTACTGCTGCTTTTCTTTTCTTTTGAATTTCTGCAGAGTTCTCCAAGGCTTTGGGCTAGGATGGTCATTGCCACTTTTGCCTTTTGGTTTTGTCTTCTCGTCAGCTCCATCTTTTTCTTTGAAACAGGTAGTTCTTGACTTACAATCAATTATATATTGACTATTCAAAGCTATAACAGCACTCAAAAAGTGAACTACAACCGTCACAGAATCTCCACAATCTTGTGATCAAAATTTGGACTTGGGCACCAGTATGTATTTATAATTGTCCCAGCATCCTAGAGGCATGTGATTGTTATTTGCGACCTTCCCAGCTGGCTTCCGACAAGCAAAGCCAACTTGCTTAACAACCATATGATTTACTTAACTGCAGTGATTCCCTTAACCATGGTAAAAAAAAGGTTGTAAAATTGGGTGTATCTCATTTAACCACCTTGCTTAGCAACCAAAATTCTGGTCTCAATTATGGTTGTAACTTGAGATCTACCTATATATGTTGTTTTCTTTTACATTTTTAAATTTTCAGCCACCCAGCATCATTGTGGAGTCAAGCAGCCTAGGAATTGGAGTAGTAAAATAGGTATTCATCATAAATATATCAATAAATGAAATAATGTTTCTTATTCGGTTTCCTGCTTTTTTGAGTGTTTCTTGTGCCAGGGAGAGTATGAGAGATACATCGCTGATACATTTTGTTGAATAAAAACTAAATCTGAAAATCTGTTTAGCCTTTAAAGAATCTTTATCTGTATAAAATGCAGTTTTAAATATTTTCTGAGTATTGATAGTATGTCAAGTATACAATGAAATTAAATAAGGAGCCAAGGTGGCGCAGTGGTTAAATGCAGCACTGCAGGCTACTGCTAGATCAGCAGGTCAGCGGTTCAAATCTCACCGGCTCAGGGTTGACTCAGCCTTCCATCCTTCCGAGGTGGGTAAAATGAGGACCCAGATTGTTGGGGGCAATATGCTGACTCTCTGTAAACCGCTTAGAGAGACCTGAAAGGCCTATGAAGCGGTATATAAGTCTACTGCTATTGCTATTGCTATAAATAAACTTACTAGTCATACTGCAATGGAATTTCTTATTAGTGTGGTAGAAAAACCAGGGTTTTTCTTCTAACAAATAATTTATAAAGGCTGTTTATTTATTCAATATTATCTTCCCATTTGCTCAAATGACTTTCACTTTCTTTCTAGTTATCTATTTAGATGACACAGGCTGAAAAAATAAAACTGAAATACTGTATGTCTATTTTTTTATCTTTTTCAGACATGATGAACAATGGTCCATTTCTATCGCTGGCAAATTATTTTAGGCTAAGAAGGTATTCTACTAAGCCTGGTAGCTTTTCACTTAGTTACTAGTATGTATGTTGCTGAAAAGATATAACAAAGAGACATACTATGGGTTTGCATTATGCAAGAAATCCATTCACTGAAAAAAGCAGCATATATATTTACAATACCGGATAGAATGCTACACACACAGAGATACTTTACATAAGTAAAGTTGGCTGATATAAAATATACCAAGCCATTGCTGATATATTTTATCTTCCTTTAAGCTTATAGAGAGCACGGAGGAATAAAATAATTTTAATGGAATATATATGTACTTCAAATATACCATTAGACTGGAAATCTACAGGTATGTTTGTCAATCATTTAAAAATGATTAGCCAACCAGCTCTGAAAAGTGAAATTTAACTCCTTTTTGCTTGACCTTGAAAAACCAAAGGAACTTTCCAACATTTCCTAATGTTTGAAAAAAATAAATCTGGATTAAAAATCTGAGACAAGTATATAATACATTTTTGGGGGGATGGGTAAGGTGATTTAGTATAATTAACTTAAGAAAATGTTAGAAACTACCTACAGCTCTTTAGTTATAAATGTACAATAAGTCTTATATGTAAATTTGTAATAGGCCCACTGGGAGAAATTATAGTAGCAGCAGTAATATAGTTAATATATTTTTTCCATATTATAGACAAATAAATAAGGTAACTGAAAAGAGGATAGGCAAGAGACGATGAGGCTGAACTCATCCTAGTAGAATGTTATTTAACACTGCAGAGAACTATTATCAAAAATTA